AAATACCTATCTCCATCTTTGCAACCGATATCTGGCACCACACACATTGGGGAAACAATGGCACCCACATCAGCCAGGTAGAATGTGCGCTTCTTCTGACCTACGTCCTTGATCAGGGGTTGGAACAGGTCACTCATGGTGACTTCCTTGTGATTTGGATCCCATTTTGCACTCTCTACCACGGCATAGGTCAGGTTTTCCAGGTAGATACCTCCATATTCCCTAAGCTCGGCATCCATATTCGCCACATCCAAAGCACCCCCTTCCAGCGATGCCTATTGCTCAAGGTCTAGCCAGATGGCCAATGAGGAACATCCTGCTTCCTTTTGGTATTGACCGGTGAGACTGGGCCCCAGCTGGAGCCATGACCAAGTACACCGAAGTAGACACCAGCGAGGCCCCCTTATCCATCATAGGCACCGTCGGACGGCACCCCATATACAGCGGCGAAGGATGTATGCCGGACCGGGCAGGTGCCTGGGTCGCCGACGAGAGAAGAGTGAGGCGTCTCCAGCGAGGAGAAATGGCGAAAGCCAAAGGGCTGCCCGGGGAATGGTTAGACAAGAGCCAGCAGCTTCCCGCCAAAGCAGTAGAGTCAGCAACCAGTTTGATCTGCGATGCCTTGGGGACGTGGTGGCACCAGGTCCACTCGCCTACAGAAACACACACGGTGAGACCAGTCTCCTCGAAGACTCACAAATTCAAGGATCCACCAACGAACAGGGACGATGAGACCGCCGCTACCGCTGAGGAGACCGTGGGCAGTCTGGACGAAGACTATGAATGGGAATACGAGGCCCCCGACTTATCCGAAGGAAGCGGCTGGTACCAGGAACGAGTTGAGACTCTGGAAGCGGCTCTGAAGGGCCTACCAAGCTGGTGTACCAGGAGGGACTCGAAGCGCTAAAGATACACCGAGAAAACTACACCGAAGCGGGACCAAAGTATCTGCAAGTGCTATGGTGGGAATTCCCCCCAGAACACCGAGAGGATGTGAGGTTGGGGTCCAGCATGAGGTTCCTGGTAGACCCAGGGACCGAACTGGTCCCAAAACCGGAGATGAACTGAAGAATAGATAGCCGTAGTGTTCAAGTTCATCGATGAGCTCACCGAGCTAGGAATCGTAACGGGAAGCGGAGCGTTTCCGCCCTTGATGCGGGTCATGTTAGCGACCAGCTGGCTGTCGATGTCAGCACACTTGCTGACGAACCAAGCCTGAGCATTGGTGTTGGCGGCAACGACGTCGTCCGAGTACCGAGCACGCTTCATGTTGCACTTGAACAACTTGGAGGATTCTTCACGAGCCTTTCGCTTGAGGGATTGGGCGTTGCGAGCACGGTACGCATCTGCGTCAGCCTTGAGAACCATGTCGTCAAACTCAGACTGGTACACAAGAGACAAGAAGGGGCGAAGACCCTTGAGCGGATCGCGAACAGTGCCGTCAGCGTTTCGAAAATTGGTGACTTGGGACAAATGGCCTGTTAGTTGCTCTAAGCTCTCTTCTAGTTGTTACTGTTGCTATTGATATACTACTGAAAAAGTGGGTGGGCTCTGTATGTATTTCTACTGGCATGAAATTCTAGTACAGAGGTACAGGTTCAATCCCTAATCGCGAATCCCCAACACACTCCTGTGGTCGTCGAGCTTGTCCTAGTCGTCGACCATGCTTACTTACTTACTCCGCTTAGCGCTCCTTCTTTGAACGGACCTTCTTGTCCGACCGTGACCCTCCTACTGAGTGCCCTGGCTCTGAGTGTTCCACAACACCCATCAACTTGTCCACATTCTGTTTGAACAGTCGACCTTGGTTCGGCTTCGTCCAGAAGTCCGCAACCATATCATCAGTTGGACACCAGTCCACACTGATCTCCTTCTTTGCGACTCGGTCGCTCACAAAGAAGTACCCAATGTTGATGTGCTTCGTTCGTTTACTACTAGAAGCTTTGCCGTTCTTCTCTAGAAGTATGGCACTCTTGTTGTCCTGATACACTATAGTTTCTTTAACTACATAGCCTTGTTCCCGAAGGAACTGCCTCGTCCAAAGGATCGATGGCATCAGGTCATTAACTCCCACGAGTTCACTCTCAGTCGAGCTTCTTGTGTTCAACTTCTGTTTTGTCGAAGTCGATAATGGGTAACCGGTGCCCATGGTCAAACCACCTCCGGTATGACCCTCATGTTTGGATGGACTGCGAAAGAACCATCAACATACCATTTCAAGATGCCACTTCCGTCGGCTTTGAGAACTAATGGTAGTTTTCTAGTACGCCTAATGTACTGCATGAGGTGGACTAGTTTATCCCAATCCTGCCTATCCAGTTCCTTGACTCTAGTCGTGAGGAACGATATCGCCGTACCTGTGTCTGGTCGGGCTCTCTTCGTAGCGAACAACACCTTAGCCACCAGGCTGTGAAAGGTGTCTGCCTTGCTCGTTGGGAGCTTCTTGCAGGATTCGTCTACTGCGAATAGGTCTTTCGGGCTGCACTACTTCTAGTCTTCGTGCCCCCTTCCTCTGGCGATGCCTTCTCGAAGGCTTCCAGGATTTCATCAACGTACTTGTACATTGATACATTGCATTGACCCTTTGTCGTGAAGTCTATGGTCATGCCAAGATACGTGTGGACCTTTCCGCGGCTCACCGTCGTCCTCGAATATGCTTTCGTATTCAACACGAAGCACTTGGATCAGCTGGTCGTTAACCTTCGAGTCCTTGTGGCTAAGCTTACAGTCGTCTACATGCCAGCAGACTGTTTGTTGCTTGCCGTGCACCATTCTGTTGGCTACACATGGGTCGTAAGGATTAATCTTAAATCCGTTCCGGACCATCGTCTTCCGGAACTTACGGTAGTATAGTAGGCTAGCTACCATGGTACCGTAGATGGCATTCAAGCATTGCAGTAGCAATTGCTTGTTGCCTTTCTTATCCGTTGTCACAAACGGTTTGTAGACATCTGGGGCTATTTCACACAGCATGTCTACTAATACTCCTCTTACTCTAATGATTACCATATCTTTTTCATCCTCGACTCGTGTCTGGATGAAGGCGTTCGGGATGTCAATTACTGCCACATCCCTTTCCTCTTCAGCGTCGATTATGCAGGAGAGTAGCACTGCTTCTGTCGACGCTATCAATAGGTCGTCAACATAGCAACCGATGTACTCGTAGTGATCGCCACAATCACGCATCCAGATATCTGGCTCAGCCTTAGAGGGCTTGAAGCCAAATCCGTGAAGTACATCGTACAGTCTATCATGCCAACACTTGCCTGATGACTTGAGGCCATATTGGGCCTTGATCATCTTCATCGTATGCCCAGCCATGTCTCCAAACTCCCCACCAGCAATAAAACACACCTTTTCAGTCGTGTAACTTTCCAGGTATGCATTGCCAATGTCCGTTGCCCAGAGTTCAAGCCCATTCAACTCAGCCAAGAAACTAACCAGACGGATGCCCTGTAAGGACACAACACCTGAGTAGGTTGGGTCTATACTGGTGTCTCTGTCCTGTGGCCTCCTGCCACAAACCTTGCCTTGTGCCGTCCATCATGTTTGACGGCATAGACCATATGACATGGTATCTTCTGGTAGCCTGTTGGGACTGGGGTACCCTTTCCCAGTGACTCGAAGGTGTCGTATTCCATCAATTGGGCAATTTCCAGTCTCTCTGCATCCTGCCACTTGCTGTTGCCATTCTTCTCGTCGATGAAAACAGCTTCAGCATGGTTTCTTGGGACCTGGAAACCGTATTGGTAAATGGGCTTGGTGCGGAAACTTTTCAACTTTGCTTGGTGTACCATACGTGCGAACACCTTGGAGTTCTTGGTATAGGGTTTGCATCGCTTCCATCCATCGACCTTGAGCAGGCCGTTCTTTGATGCGTAGATGGAAATTGACACAGGGTCATCATTGAAGATGCTCCCCATATCCTCCCAAGAAGTCTCTCCGCTGGCCCATTGAATCAGCACCTCGTACTTGGACTTAGTTCGGGAGGGACGATGTCGGATGACAGCCTCGATCCGGTACATATCATCTTTGTCCAGGTCCCTTTCACACCATTCCAGCATCTTTGAGTATGCCAAAACTTCCTCAAAGTATTCGTCCCCATGTTTGCACTTGAACCTGTATACAGCTGCTGATCCGTCTGCATTGGTCTCTCCTGTGGCCTCGGCAGACACAATCTTGGCTCTATGCTGCTCGCCTTCCTCGTTGGGGTGGGTGATAAAGGTCCTGTTAAGAAGGTTGGTGATGTCAATGACTGGCAGGTTGCCACCGTCTAGGACATCCCTGTGCTCAAGGTTGGATAGGATATCCTTGCGTATGGAGTTGTGAAACTCCCCATTCTCCTCCGTCTCCTCTATCTCGATGCCTTTCTCAATCACTTCAGTCTCCGGAGCGGCCCCGACTACAAGGTCAGCTTCGCTTGTGGAGGCCTTCTGCCCTGAGATTGGCTTTCGCTTGGGGGCCAGCTTCGGGGCTAGTCCATCAGCCTTCCAGTTGCTGAGTTCAGCTCCCTTCCTTGCCGTCCTGGCCACCACCTTGCATATGACCTTGCCTGACTCCGTCAATATTTTGTAAGTCATCCCATGACCCACGTCCTCCGCTACACCGACAAACCGTCCCACCGCCTCAACAGAATCTTCTGGAAATGAACCACCATACTTCTGGTAATATACGGGTTCGTAGAACTCAAACTGAATAAGGGCTGAGATATCCGGTGTGAAACCGAACAACCACTCAAAAGGTGTACGCCAACCAAGGCATTCCAGGGCGATGTGGTTCTGTAGAGCGGATATGAACTGTCCACACAGGAGCCAGCACTCAGAGGGGACATCCCGGGTGTCCAGTACCATTTGGATCTTTGCTTTCGTATCTCTCCAGCCCAACTCAGCAAAGTTTTGGTTGCCCTTGTAGGCCTCAGAGTGCCAGTCGTCGATGCAAAAGGTCCTGTAGATATCCTTGACCCTCTGATTGCACTGAGCCTTAGCATTGTCGGACCGTATCCTGTTCATGGCACCAAGCTTCCTGATCTCATCCATCAGATTCCTGATATAACTGGCATCAGAGCTCCCAGCGGGGCGAAGTGTCCTGTAGTGGGAGGTCCTGCCAATGAAAAGTTGAGCTGCAGTGGACCCATCATCAATAGCTGGCGTGCTGCTATAGATTGTATCCGTGGCTACATCTTCGTGGCGTCTTGGGATATTCAGGATGGGGTTGGGAGACACGATCTGGCCTCTCAGTGTCCTTCCCTGAGTGGTGCCCTTGGTTCCATACTGAGTGGTAGCATCGAGAGTTTGCTTGATAGTCTCATCGGTAACTCCTGGGAAGAACCTCCTGAGTTTGGCGGTGCTCTGAGTCTTGACCTTCTTGGACTTGGGTGGGAACTCAAGACCGGTGTGGTGTTTGGCCTTATTGTTGGACCGAAGTGGTTCCGTGTCCGCGTCGTCCGATACAGTCTTAACCTTTGGCTTAGCTTGTGTTGAAAGTGGTCCTGAACAATCCGATGAGATCCAGTCAGGGTAGATGCACAAAGAGCTGGCTGGGAGTGGAGAGCTCTGCTTGGGGTCTCACTCCTCTGGCAGTGGGAATGGGCCAGCCACAAAGCTGGCTGTCACTGTTATTCAATCTCCACAGCAATGATTGAACAACTTACTCTTTGCCCTGGCACAATCCACACAGGAAGGCTTCAACTGTGGGGAAACTAGTGCTACTGAGGCTGTATCTGGTCAACTATCCTTTCATTACTTCTTCTTCTTTAAACTATAACATGAATTCAAAATCCTCGACAGCACTCAGCCATGCAGCTTTGGCTCTCTTGCATCTCATTTGGCTGGTGCTGGCAAGCTAACTTTCTATATTGGTCTTGGCTGAAGAACTGCATCATCCTTGGGTATATAGAGTTCCTCAGCTATTTCTGTATTGCCAGATGGCTGCACTGCTGACCCTACTGTTGGAGTATACAGATGTCACAGCGATTCTTCCACCTGGCTAAACCAGCACAGCTGCTTCGCACCACAATGGGAGCTCACGTGGATTTCCACTCATCGCTCTCCACCATGTGATGTGTCCATGGTGGTGTCCAGGAGATCAGCTGTGTCTCCTTGCCAGAACAGAACTGCCTTCAGAATGGGCCATATCTGGGAGTAACCCCAGTGTTTCGTCAGGATGTCTGTGGGGTTGATTGCTCCCGGTAGATGATGAAACGAGATGGTCCCTGCAGCAATGGCTTCTCTGACGAAGTGGTAGGAGAAGGCGTGATGTCTCTTCTTGAGGGGCGAATGGGGCTGGGTGGAACTTGTCACCACAGACCCATTGTCGCCAAACATGTATGTTGGCCCCTTTACCTTCACACCAAGGTACCTGAGTGTAACTCTGGCTGCAATGGCCTGTTGGGTGGCAACCCTGGCAGCAACGAACTCAGAGCCGTATGTGGCTGCTTCCACAGTGGCTTGCTTCTTGCAGTACCATTCGAATGGTGTCTGGTTCACATAGTGCAGTACACCAGTGACTGCCTTGCCATTGACCCAATCGTGGTATAGGTTTGCATCCACATAGGTCGTCAACACTACCGGCTTGCCCTTCGGCTGTGGGGCATCTACTGGGAGTTCCTCCTGTGCCTCCCCATAGACCGTCCTTGTCCAGTCGTAGGTGCGGTATTCCAGTTGGGAGTAGTCTGGCTCGTTGGTGCGGATCCTGATTCCTGCCTGGTTCATCTTGACCAAGAATCCAGTGATCCTCTTGAGTCTTTCCAGATGCCCCACCCTGGGTGCCACCCTGAAGGATGACATTGACATTACAGAGACTGCAATATCAAATCTTCCAAGTGAAATTGCCCATTGCAAAGCTCCAATCAGGGACTGGTATTTTGAGATCCCATCGTCATCCAGGAGGGAGAGGTATCAAGCTCTGGGTGGTCGTTCTTCTCCACTGGGCTGGTGACCTTAGTGGATGGATTCTCTCCAAACAGGGATACATACTGGGCCTTGACACGTTCAATGTACTTTCTTGGTGTCATGGACAGGGTTCCGTCGCTATCCCTTTCAAAGTCACATCCCAGATGGAAGGTAACAGGTCCAGTTCCTTTGAGTTTGAACTTGTGTGGTGGAGCCTGCAGCAGATCGATGATGACTTGAGGTTGCTTGGAAGCTATCAATAGGTCGTCAACATAGCAACCGATGTACTCGTAGTGATCGCCACAATCACGCATCCAGATATCTGGCTCAGCCTTAGAGGGCTTGAAGCCAAATCCGTGAAGTACATCGTACAGTCTATCATGCCAACACTTGCCTGATGACTTGAGGCCATATTGGGCCTTGATCATCTTCATCGTATGCCCAGCCATGTCTCCAAACTCCCCACCAGCAATAAAACACACCTTTTCAGTCGTGTAACTTTCCAGGTATGCATTGCCAATGTCCGTTGCCCAGAGTTCAAGCCCATTCAACTCAGCCAAGAAACTAACCAGACGGATGCCCTGTAAGGACACAACACCTGAGTAGGTTGGGTCTACTGGTGTCTCTGTCCTGTGGCCTCCTGCCACAAACCTTGCCTTGTGCCGTCCATCATGTTTGACGGCATAGACCATATGACATGGTATCTTCTGGTAGCCTGTTGGGACTGGAGTACCCTTTCCCAGTGACTCGAAGGTGTCGTATTCCATCAATTGGGCAATTTCCAGTCTCTCTGCATCCTGCCACTTGCTGTTGCCATTCTTCTCGTCGATGAAAACAGCTTCAGCGTGGTTTCTTGGGACCTGGAAACCATATTGGTAAATGGGCTTGGTGCGGAAACTTTTCAACTTTGCTTGGTGTACCATACGTGCGAACACCATGGAGTTCTTGGTATAGGGTTTGCATCGCTTCCATCCATCGACCTTGAGCAGGCCGTTCTTTGATGCGTAGATGGAAATTGACACAGGGTCATCATTGAAGATGCTCCCCATATCCTCCCAAGAACTCTCTCCGCTAGCCCATTGAATCAGCACCTCGTACTTGGACTTAGTTCGGGAGGGACGATGTCGGATGACAGCCTCGATCCGGTACATATCATCTTTGTCCAGGTCCCTTTCACACAATTCCAGCATCTTTGAGTATGCCAAAACTTCCACAAAGTATTCGTCCCCATGTTTGCACTTGAACCTGTATACAGCTGCTGATCCGTCTGCATTGGTCTCTCCTGTGGCCTCGGCAGACACAATCTTGGCTCTATGCTGCTCGCCTTCCTCGTTGGGGTGGGTGATAAAGGTTGCAATACACGGCTCTTAGCCTTATTCGCGACTCGATCCTAGATAGGGTTTGAGTTCGACTCATGACGTAGTCCTTCGCGAATAGTCATTGAGACAGGGTTCTCATGACTGCTAGTCATACTAGGTTGTCGATGAAACATCGCTCTAGATATTTAGCCGGCGTGGAAAGCTTCCACGCTACTAGACAGCTACTAGCTGAAGTTTCCACGCGTTCCGTTTTAGGATCGTGGAGATGCGTAGGATTACTACCGCAACCTACGATATCACACTTCGAGGCCTCCCGCGGGAGACCAACTTCAATGAGCTTCACAACGATCTCTCTCATGGATTAGTTTTTTGTAGCTTTCTAATCTCTCTCATAACTTTCATTCTCTCAAACTCAAAACACTCGAAAGATCTTTACACTAGCTTTTAGCGTAGTGCATTTTGTTAACAAACACAATAGCTTTCAGCTACCCTCAACCTATTCCTTCACCATGAAGATTGCTCAAGGAAAGCATGCGTTCACCAACTTCGAGAAACAGTTGCGTGACAAACCCATTCTTCCTCTCGTGGACAACGACGAAGACGCCGAGATTGACGATTCTCGTGCAACCACCTACAAACTTCGCACCGTTCCTGCAGATGCAAACAGTGCCAAATATACCTTCAAGGTAGCCATCATCAATGGTTCCAACACTCCACGTCAGACCATCAAGTGGGCTACGAATATGGAGAAGGTCTTCGTTGGACTCAACCTTGCCAATGCCGACGACAAACATCGCCTTCTCAAGGAGATGACTTCCAGCTCTGCGAAGAGTGCCTACGAAGCTGGGTGTGCAGGCCATCGTGTAGTGCGTCATCACGCCCTACGACAAATTGCTGTGAACGCAATTCCTCCACGCGATGTGACTTCTGGAGAAACCGAAGTCCAATTCCAAGCTAGTGTCCAAGCCGCATGGGACGGTGCAGCGGAACCCGCTCTAAGCGATGCTGACATCACCTTTGGAATCAACGCGGTTATCGAAGCAGCCTGCCAATACAAGGCTCTCGAAAAACAGAAACGCTTCATGCGTCGCAAGATGCGTAAGCCTAGCGAAATGACAACTCGCGCCTACATCAACAACCTCACTCGGATGAATACCGATGAGCTTCCACGTTTGCCACCTTTCGGTGCCAATCAACAGTTGAACCAGGACGAATTCATCGACATCATCTGTCATGGCATTCCTTGTTCCTGGATGCGCAAGATGGACGAACACGACTTCGATCCTTTCACTGCCGAGATGACAGCGCTCATTGGATTCTGTGAGCGCATGGAATCCGCTGAAGACTTTGACAAAGGCAGTGATGC